GTATAAATATCCCATAATCAGCCCAACTCAAAGGCATGCATCTAGATGGGCTATGTGATGTGAGGCAGGTACATGACAGAAGAGAGTGGCGTGGCTAAAGCTAAGAGGATCTTCCATGATACATCAGGATTGAGCTGTTGCGTTATTAACTATGATTTCTCCTCTCAACCCAATGGTGTGTGGAAATCATGCTGTTCCAATAGAGGGTGGCATGGGAATAATTTGACAGGTTGATTGTGTTTTTTGTTGCTTGGGTCTAGAAACCTGACTGGGAATGGGGAGGGAATGAAGAAAGGACTGACAGACACATATGGAAAATCTAGGTTTGGGTGGGCTGTGAAAACTGATAGAGCAACCCCAATACTGCATAATAGCATAGAACTTCATTGTGGGGGACCAACCTCCACTTTTACGTCCAGGGTACTCTTGAGCAGGGAGAAGTGGGAAATACTTAGAAAGAGATACCTAGACAACGAGAGGAAAGACAGAAACACAGGATCGCCTCGGGAGGGCCTGGGTCAAAACCTACCAGCCCAGAACTTTATTCAAAAGGACTTTTTATTACAATGCCAAGGGGAGAGGCAAAAGATCTCCCCCTTGCGAGATACAGCCAAGTGTAGACCCTTCCAAACACCTGGTCCCCAGGCCTGTGGTCCAATCAACCTCTTATGCAGCCCTGCTGGGTAAAGCCACTAGGAAACCTCGGTGGGCTCCAACACCTCGTCATGCTTATTATGCACAGCATGCGGGGAAGAACTTAGGCATTCTCAGAGGGAGGTGTCTGTGGGTGCAGTTTCAGACTGTAAGCCCCCAGGGAGGAGGAAGCCGCAGTTGCCAGCTTTCACACACACCAGTCAATCATTTATAAGCACTCATACTTGGACCAGAGGAAGGCTTTGCCAATTCTTGAGCCTGATCCATATGGCTTTGCCAATTTCCCATGGATCTGAGGCATGGGGTCCTTAACATGTCTATTCCCATTTCAGCAACACACATTCACTCAGGACTTAATCCGCTCTTGACACATCCGCTCAAAACTTCCTCAGCTTCCCACATAACAGCCACCATGTAGATATTGACCAAGTATCTCCTGGTAGCCTGGCACCTCCCCTTTCTTGGTCATAAGAACCCCATGAGAAAACTAATGTGACTGATTTTATAGATGAGAAAAGTAATATTCAGAGAAACATGACGAAGGCCCACGACTGGGAAATGATGGAGTCAGTGCCCAAATCCAGGCATATTGGACTTCTATGTCCTTGCCCTAGATGGCCTGGGGCATCTGATCCTGAGTCATTTCCTGTGCCTTTGGCCTGTTAATCCTCCTCCTTTCCACCTTCACTTATAGGTCAAATGTCTTGTTGTTCTTGGATTTCCCTGTGGCTTTTCTCTAATATGGCCCCATGTTGTAAAAAGAGTGCACCAATCGACCTGCTCTGAGTGGCCAATCGACCTGCCCGCGGTGACCAAATATGCCACCCACAATGACGCTGTGTGTTCTCCTTAACTAGGTGGGAACCGTGGCCCTCATACAAGTCACCCTCACAGAAGCAGCCTCCACCCTTGAGTGGAATGAATTCCTTCCCCTTCGGCCAACACCACAGAACTTGGGAAGGAAGATGGGAAGTTGGTATCCGGAGGTTACTAAGCCTTTATTTTTCTCTGGCTGAGTAATTCTTACTGAATCTTAGAGTCAGAAGGTCTATGTGGTCCCCATGTTCAGTCTGGCAAGCACAAATGTGGGAGCCCATCCTGCCTGTTCTAGCTTCATTTCTGTTACTGTGATGAAATGTCCTGACAGAAAGCAACTTAGGAAAAGCTTGCAATTCCAAGTTTTAGTCTGTCACTGTGGAGACTTTACAGTGGTAGGAGCTTGAAGCAGGTCACATCAAACCCACAGGCAAGAGCTGAAGAAAAAATGCATGCATCTCTGCTTGCCTGCTTGTTATTTTCAGCTAGCTTTCTCCTCCCTTACACTGTTCAGGATAACCTGTCTAGGGAATGGTGCCACCCACAATGGACTGGCTCTTCCTACACCATTTAACAATCAAGGCAACTCTCCACGGACACTCCCACAGGACGGCTTGATAATTTCTCATCAGGACTTTCTTCCCAGGTGACTTTAGGTTGTATCAAGTTGACAGAACTGACAAGCACACTGCCTTCCAGGAGAGGGTAGCCCAGTGCCCACACTCACTCACAGGAGTGTGAAGGTCTTGCTTGTGCTCACTGATATTGGCTGTACTTCTGTGTGGGAAATAGGAAGCAGCCAAGAGACAGTTTAGACCAACCTAGGAGTAAACACAGTCTCACCTCTAAGGCTTCCTGTAGTCAAGTGACTTGTCTTGGCCAATAGAATGAGTATAAGTGATGTTTTACTTCTCAATAGACACTTAAACTCTCTCTCTCTCTCTTTCCCTCCCTCCCTCCCTCCCTCCCTTCCTCCCTCCCTCCCTCCCTCCTTCTCTCCCTCTCTCCCTCCTTCCTCCCCTCCCTCCCCTTCTCCTCCTTTCTTCCATCAGGATGACTCTGAATACCAAAATTTAGAAATATTGATGGCTATGGATGGCAGAGGCTACTGACTACTCAAGACTGTATGGACTGTATGGAAACTAGTCTTGAAGGGTGGCCCCAGTGAACCACACCTCCTGATGCTCACAGCCTTGTGAAACTTCCTCCTGTTCAGTTCTCCCTTGAACCAACAGAATGTGACTGGAATGACGCTGTTTTGGTTACGGACACAGTTTATAGCTGATGCTGTTCCATTATTTGGAAGCTCTGACCTACCACACAGAGAAGAGAGAAGCTCAGACAACAAGGAGAGGACTGATGCTCTGCTTAGTGATCCCAATGGGAGGGTTTCAAATGTGTGCGAGACATCTTGGATGCTCTAGTAAGTCCCCAGGGTAACTGTTCCAGTCAACACCCAAATGCAGCAGAACACCACCCAGCTGAACCACAGGAGGGGATAGAGTGAGGGCTGCTCTCAGCCACTCAATATGGATGTGGTTTTCAGGAGCAACAGACAACCAACACCATGAAAGAGACACTAATAACATGTTGGGAACTGTGACTGGGGAGTATGTCAGTGATGCTGTTAATGTTTTTTTTGTTTGTTTTGTTTTTCATATAAAGAGATTAGTGAGTTAGAGCCCTCAGGGGACAAATTTGAATTCCCCTGATGGCAGGATGTGCAGATACAATATGGTCACCTCCATTTCTTGACTAATCAGATGGGAGAATCAGAGGAAAGGAAGGGGTGGGACTTTGGCTCCTGCAAACCTGCCATTGAGAGGGAACTACAGTTATTAGGGAATGGAGACCAAGGAGGGGGAGTAGCAGAAATGCTTGAGGCAGTAAACACGAACAAGAGGACATCTGGGGTTTGACTTAAAGTACCGATGGGATCTGAACATGACAATAATCCTCAGGAAGACTCAACTTGACTTTGCCTCTCAGATAAGAGACCAAGGCTGGAGGTGTGTGTGTGGGGAAATGAGAGCTAACTTTATGGGAGAATGACTTTCAGAGAGACTAGAGAGAAAGATAATTGGATTGAGGGATAGCCATGGAAACCGCCTCCATGGACATGGCCCTGGGGACCAGCGGTGAGGCAAAGACCTAGAGAAGGGCTGGAGCAGAATGAAGACTCCTCAGAGCCAGAGGTCACACAATTGCGATCAGTAGATGGGATTCAATTGCTTCAAGGTCCATGGTGGAGCTGGGAGGCAGTCTGTGATGGCTAGTACCTTCAGCTTGACAGGTTCTAAAATCACCATGGAAACAAGCCTCTGGGCACATCTGTGAAGGATTAGATAATGCTAGCTACCTCAGGTTAACTGAGGAGGGAAGCTCTACCCTAGGAGTGGGCAGCACCGTTCCGTAGGGCCAGAGTCAAAGACTGAACAAAAAGGAGAAAACGAGCTGAGCCTGAGTCTTCATAGGTTGCTGCTTCCTCACTACGGATGCAACGGGACTGGTCCAGTGTGGCCAGACCAAGCTTCTGCAGCCATAACTCCCTACCATGATGGAGTACACCCCCAATGGTGAGCCAAAATCTACTCTTCATTCCTTAAGTCATTATTGGTAGGTATTTTGTCACAGCAGGGAGAAAAGCAACTGATAAGAGTCTAGGAGAAGGGTACTAAACTCTCAGGAGACAGGATGTGTATGATCTCCACCCACATGTCCGTCTTTTTATCTGCCCATTCATCCACCCACCCACCCACCCACCCACTCACTCATCCATCTATCCATCCACCCATCCATCCACCATTAGATCCTTGTTAGAGAATGCCATAAATGAGGCATGATGATCAGATTAAGAGCAAAATGGTTCATCCCTTAGTTAAGGACATGTTGAAATTCCCCTTGAATTCTCTCCTCTGTGTATAAAAGTGGAGTCGACAGTCAACGCTTGTCAAGCACTGTTCCTTGGGCACTGCATACTTTCTATCACTTAATAATTCCAAGGACAGTAGCACGAGCTGGCACTGTGTGCAGGTGAAGTGACTGAGGCTCAGAAACACCGTCTTAGCAGAGCTTGATGTGGCCTGGCCGTCACACTTAGCTCAGCCATCTTTCTCCACCACCCGTCCCTGGGAACCCACGTTCTGCCCATAGAGGTGAAGGCTATAGAGGAACAAGAGAGAATCCCTTGCTGTATTCATGAGCATCAGTTTCTCACAGAAGTGATGATACATAGATGTGAGAGGGCCTGGGAAAGTGAAGCAATGATGGATTCAGTTCCTTGGCGATTGGCGAAAGTCATCGATGGGTTAACGTTACTGACAATGAGCAGTTGCTGTGGGAAAATCCATCCCAAACTCCAAACAGTCACCTTGGAGACAGCCTTGGAACTGAGCCAGTGTGTAAACCTGAGCATCTGTAACCGTAGCATCTGGCCATTGTGAACGTACATTCACTGGGGCTCTTTTCTCTCTCTCTTGCTTTGCCTCACGCACCTTTCTTTGTATTGTGCCGTGCTAAGACCCTAGGCTTCCTGTTTCAGTTAGCCAGCAAACCCACACTCCCCTAACCCAGCACACATTTTTGTAACTACCCCCTAGAGGTTTTCTTCATCAAGTAAGGAAAATCGAATTCTGTTTTCCTAAGTGACGGGATGTGTTTATCCAGGGACTCCAAGCGGGATCCAGCGCCTGGCCAGATGGATCCAGATATACTCAGCAGAATGTGAGGCGCCGGCCCCAGGGCCCTCCCTGACCATGTGACTCACAGAAGGTTGGTGCCAGAGACGTGCACTCTGTGTCCTGCCCACGCTGGGCTGCACATAGGGTACACACGGGCTTCTGCTCCTTGGCTGCCTTAGGTGGTGCTGGGGTGGTGGGGGGGGAGGGTGTGCTCTTGCTGGAACTGTGGTCCACCCTCCCAGCCCAGTGTGAGTCATGCCTATTTTTAGCTTACCACTCAGCCAGGTGGGCCAGGTTCCATGCGAACGGCTCAGAATTCTGCGTCTCTATCTCTTACATGGAGTAGCTGAGAGACCTGGGGGCTTCGGAGCCTACATTTCAGCACAGCTCCGGCCAAGGGGGAAATTAGCCTTTGGGGGCCTGGGGAACTTACGACGGACATCTGCTGATGACTTTGTGAACCTGTTGAGCCCATGGGCTGGAGAGGGCAACCAGAACCACGCCTGCCACTGTGCCCAATGTACTTGGCTGGGGATAGACATGGCTCGTAGGTCTTGGCACCCTCCCAGTAGCTTGGACACTGCTGCAGAGGAAGGGTCTGTGGTTACTAGCCACATCTGTCTCTGAAACTGTGTGAGGAGGGGAAGGGAGGTCAGGGTGGCTGTGCACTGCTCTCTGATGCCCTGGCTGGGCACCGCATGTGATTTACCTGCTATAGAAAATTGGTTAGATCTGTCTATGGCCATATTGCCCTGAATGTGCCAGATCTCCCGAAGCTGAAGCAATGTCTGGCCTGCTTAGTGTGTGCATGTGACAATTACTCACATCTGCTTGATTGGCCTCAGTAGTTACCTCTTCCTCTCCCCTCCTCCTCTCCAGCCTCCTCCCCCCTCTTCTTCCTCATCTTCCTCATCCCTCTCCTTCCTCCTTTTTAGAAATAATGTCTCATGTATCCCAGGCTAGCCCCAATAACTTTGACCGTTTGGTCCCCCTGATCCAACCTCCTGAGTGTCAGGATTGCAGATGTGCACTTCCACACTTGGTTCAATGCAGCGCTAGGGATGGAACCAGGCCTTGGGGTCTGCTAGGCAAATGCTCCATCAATGGAACTACATCCCCAGCCCTTGACGGAGCAGTTTACTAGTGTGTGCGGGCGATCCAACTTGGGATTCCTTAGAGCCGGACTGAGAGAAAAAGGGAGTTTAAGTCATTTATTTGGGAGGTGATCTAGGGGAGAACGGGGCTAGAGCAGCAAGGCAGGGTGTGTGTCTTAGGATTTTTATTGCTGTGAAGAGACACCATGAGCACAGCCACTTTTGTAAAGGAAACAACTGAGGTGGCTCCCTTACAGTTCAGAGGTTCAGTCCATTATCCTCATGGTGGGGAGCAGGCAGACATGGCGCTGGCTCATCTTCATCAGAAGGCACCAGAAAGTGGACCCTGTCATACTAAGCGAAGTTGGAGCAAGAGAGACCTCAAAGCCCACCCCCACAGTGACATACTTCCTCCAACAAGACCACACCTCCTAATAGTGCCACTCCCTATGAGATTATGGAGGCCAACTACATTCAAACCACCACAGTGTCTAAATAAGCAGATGGCCACTGTGGCCTTATGGGGGCCTCTTGGTGACTGTTTAGGTATTCTGTGGAGGTGTCAAGGGCTAAGACAGTGGGTTGCTCATTTCCTAGCTCTGGCTTGTTATTGATAGAAATGCTCAGGGGACCTCAATCCCCTAAGTCTTTGTCTGACCAGTGTGCCAGCTGTGCGGTCTTGAGCGCAAGGAGAGCCCCCAGGCTTAGAGCTTCAGGCCCTGGTGCAAGGACAGAAGGGAAAAGGGAGACTGGGGTACAGGGGGTGTTCGCTCAGCCTGATGCTAGCATCTAGCAGAGGAGAGAGCCCCTGGCTTGACTCCACGGCCCCGCTTTGCTCTGTTGCACTAGACACACTGTCCAGCTTCTCTGACAGCTGTGGTTCTGGTCCAGAACGGTCCCCTGAGGGCTTTCTGAAGAGTGACATGAGGTAATGTCTATGAAAGGCTGTGTGAATTTCAGAAGTATTGGCTTCCCTCCCTCCCTCCTTTCCTCCCCCTCCCTTCTTCCTTCCTTCCTTCCTTCCTTCCTTCCTTCCTCCCTCCCTCCCTCCCTCCCTCTCTTCCTTCCTTTCTCTGAATACAGGAGAAATCAGGGTCTCTTCTTGGGGTTCTACGCATCATTAATAACATAATTTAAGAACGCACTCAAACGGAAGCTCAAGGACAATTTTATTAGAGTTTAAAGGAAAGCCCGGGGCAGGCCAGCTGTAAATTTGAGCTGCCACCCAGAGGAGGAGAACGGAGGAGAGAAGGAAGAAATCCATGCCGTTGAGGCTGGCATGGTGGGCAGCCACACGGCAGACACACGTGGTACAGAGGGGAGCTCTAGAGAAAGCATGGAAACCCTGAATGCCGGGAAAACCAATGTATTAATAATAATTAATAACGTAATGTATGCTTAGACAAGAGATGGAGGAAAAGGAAAAGTTACACTTTCCTGAATAATTCAGAAAGCAGGCAGACTAGCAGTGGGATTCTGGAAAGGACAAGTACAGCATCTCATTAAAGAATGATTATTCTGCCTCTTTTGCATGGCTTAAGGTGAACCTACGTTTCTAAGGATGGTCCCTTGTCCGAGTGAGCATTCAGCTAGTTGGATTGCCCAAATCACTCGAGATTTCTCCATGCCTCCGTTCCTAAATAGCCTGGGGACGGCTCAGGCTGGTGGCTATTGCCCATTGGTTGCAGGTAGGACACACTGGTCACTTTAGTAAAGTTGGGCGTTCTTATCTTTCCTTCCCAAGTCCCGCTGGCTGGCTGGACTGTAAATGTGCAGTCTGGATGTCCAGACATTGGCTAGGCTCCGGGAGACCTCTCTGATGTCTTGTCACCTTTACAGTGCATATAATATGTGCTCTTTCCTGCCTCAGCTACGCCCGTTTCAGGACCAGGCAGCCCCTCCCCAGCCTTTGAGCTCCACGATATTCCAGAGTCCAGGTCAAAGTGTAGCCAGTGATCCCTCACCCAGTCTTGTCATTGTCCCACGGGAGTACAAGGGACACAGAAAGACAGAGAGACTGGTGTGAGGGTTGGCTTCTTCCCCTGGTGGGCAGAGCTCAGCAGGCCTGTGAAGGGGGGGAAGGAGAGCCACCCCCAGGCTGCTGAAGAAGATGGCCTGTCTCCACTTAGCGCCTTAACTCGGGGGGGGGGGGGGGGGGCGGTGCAGCCCAGAGCCTCGAGTGCTCTCGTGTCTGCGTTTGCAGATGGTTCCCAGATGTTTTTCATTTTCTGCAGGGGCCTGAAGAGGAAATGGGCCTCGTCAGCAGCATGAGGGGAGGGCGATACACTATTTAGAGACAGGACGGGCCTCTTTGAGGACAGAAGACCTCAGCTCCAGAGAGAGGGCTTAGAAAACACCAGCGTGGTTGACATCAGACCTTGTGGCCTGGCAGGGACCCCAAGTGCATCTTCCCCCAGCACTGTCTTCAGGTTTTCTTGTCCCCCCTGTCCCCCCACCATGTGCTCTGCGGTCCCAACCCCCACAGCACCTTGAGGGTGGCAGTGTACAATGTGGGGGTTCAGATAGCTTTGGCAGATCTGGGTGATCTGGAGGGCTTGTGTGGGGCCAGGTAGCAGGAGAAGAATTGGTTTGGGACTGCAAAGGGCTATCCCAGGCCTAGGGGACTCGAAGTTCCTTCTACAGTCCTGGTGACTCCCACAGGACAGCACACAGCTAAGCGCTCCACACTGCTTGTGAATGCTCCCACAGCTTTCCAGGATGAGTATGAACATGGGTTCAACCTGCAGAAACCGTATAGAGGTTAGAAGGGACCATGGAGACTCTTTCTGGGGAAGAGAATATTCCCCAGAAAATGAATCAAAACTTAAACCTCATCTTATACAAATGTGACTCCAAACAGACCCTATCATTAAAATTCAAACCCATGAGCCATTAGGAAATAAACAGGGCACAGCAAAGTCCCTGGGACCCAGGACAAGATGAAGGGCCCTTGGCTGGGCCACCAAGGCATACTCAGCTGTTTCTCTCATCCCTTATGTGTGGGCTCCACCCTTCAGTAGAGCCACCTGTGGGCACAGTCCTCACCTGCTCACACCCTTCTCCCAGGACACGGTGCAGGGCCGGAATGCAGCATCTTGACATTACACACTGCTGAACAAATGCTGGAGCTGAATGCCACTCAGATGATACTGCGACATTTGGGCATCAGAGGAACGGACTTGGCCATTGTCTAAGTGAAGGTGGGGTGGTGTCTGCTGGCTGAGGGCTTTGAGGAGTGGCTCATGAGGTCAGTGGGCCTTGCTTTGCAATGTGCCAGGATCTCTCTGGCCTGCCCCTGCTCAGCTTCTGCAAACCCATTTGCAGCCGTCCTCCTGGCCACACCGCAGTGGCTCTGGCCGGAACAGCAGAGCAGAGAGCACCAGAATTTCCTGAAAAGACTTTTTCACGATCTTTGATGGAAATGTAACTTAGGGGGTTTTGCCGTGGATGTTGGGAAATGGATGAGATGTCAAAAGTTCCATGGAAGTTTCCACTACATATGGGTTTCTCCCAGGCTCACTAAGGATGAGTTCGAGAAAGTGGCTAAGCTGAGGTCTCAGAGGAGGAGGAGGAAGAGGAAGAGGAGGAAGAAGAAGAGGAGGGGCACACGAAGGCAATGCTCTTCAGGAGGGACATCAGGGAAGAGGAGGGAGGAGGGAGGGGAAGGAGAGGGGAGGTTGGAAAGGGAGGAGGACAGTGAAGAAGAATGGAAGGTGAGGGGAGACAGGAGGAATGGGGGACGAGAGGGAGGACGGGGAGAGGGAGGTGCTTTGGGAGGGCAGGTACAGGTCTCTGGCTGCCCTGCTCTTCCCAGCCACAGGGTCCCACAGACTAAACTCACTTTCAGCCTGTCCTGGAAGGAAAATAACAGGGAACAGTTGAATAAATAAAACTTCCCATTCAGTGACGGGTCACAGAGATCATATTTTCCCTAATCTTCCATCTTGGCATGCCGAGGGGCACTTATTTCCACATTTTTAAAATTTAATTTTTTTTGAGAATGTCATACATGTGTATGATGAGTTTCAATCACATCCATTTCCTCCTTCTCTCCAACTCCTCTCCCTCCACTTCTCCCTTTTCACCTCATATGCTCTTTCCTTTAACCCAGGAAGTCCATTAGGTGCTGCTAGTGTGTGCGTGTGTGTGTGCGTGTGTGTGTGTGTGTGTGAATAGGTGTGTGTGGGTGGGGTGGGTATGTAGGTAGATATGTATGTGTGTGTGAATGTGTGTATGTGGGGGTGGGTGGGTATATGTGTGTAGGTATTGTGTGTGTATGGGTATGTGTGTGCATGTGTGTGTGTGGGTAAGTGTGTGCATGTATGCTTATGGCTACGTGGGTGAGTGGATGATTGGGTGTGTGGCTGTGTGTGTGAGCATCCTCCAGAGGGAGAACCTTCCAGGGGCTGCATCCCTTAAGAAGCCTTTCCCTCCCCCACAGGCATCAACTCCTCAGCTAGGAGTGGAACGTTCTTGGGTTCTCTTCTAGCCTCCTGAGAGTCTGCTCAGGTCAAGAAGCACCTAGGAATGAGAAGAAACACTTGTGTTCAGAAACATGTAAGTTCTGAGGAGGGTCTGGCTCCTTATCCTGCATGTCCCAGTTGCTACAGCACTGTGCAGACCCTTTGCGGAATTCTGGCCTGTAATTCTCCTCACTCAGGCTTGTTTGTGCTTAAGCTTGATTTCTCTATTCCTATACAGCTTATGACCCATGCCTAGGGGATGACACCACCCACATTGTGCTGAGTCTTCCCACATCAATCAACACAGTTAAGACAACATTCCTCCAGACATGTCCACAGACCAACCCTATGTAGACAATCTGTCCTTGAGACTTTCTTCCCAGGTGATTCTAGATTGTGTCAAGTTGGCAATTAAAGCTAACAGTCAGAGCCACTGTGACCAGAATATGGTATCATTCTCAATGTCACACACTGAAATCCCAGCTCCAAGACTATGGTAGAGCATATGAGAGTTTAGGGGTGTAACTGAGGTCATAAGAGTGGCGGCTCCATCAGTGCACTCACAGTCCCCTAGGAATTCAGTCCCCCCTCCACCACAGGAGGATAGGGTGAGGAGGGGCCATGTGTCTACGAACCAGGAAGTATCTGTCACCTGACATCAAAACTGCTGGTGACAAGGTTGTGGACTGAATGGCGATCCTTGTGGGAGCCCACAGAGGTTTCCTAGTGAGACCTGAGCTTGCTTTACCCAGCAGGGCTGCATAAGGAGATAGATTGACACATGGGGATCACCAGGTATTTGGAAGTGTCTGCACTTGGCTGTGCTGGGAGGAGGTCTTTTGCTCCGTCCCTTGGCATTACTTTAAAAAGCCCTTTAGAAGAGATAGAAGGGGCTGGTGGATATTGATCCAGGCCCTCCCGAAGCTATCCTGTGTTTCTATCTGTCTCTTTCCCCTCTATATTTCTATCTGAATCTCTTATCCCTCACTCCTCAAGAGTACCCTGGGGGGGAAAAGGTGGGGATGGTTCCCCCACAGATCCTAATTAGTCTTATTAAATAAAAACCCAGAGTCCGATATTAGGGTAAAAGCTGAAAGATCAGAGAAGCAGAGCAGCAACCATTAGAGAGATCTTACCTCTATGAATCTTCAGACCAAATGGAGGGTGATCCTGTCTCCACACGCCTTATATTCCTGTCTCCACCTCCTGATAGTGCTGGGAGTAAAGGCATGCACCACCCCCACCCAGCTCTGTTTCTTATTTAGAATGGTTCAATCTTGTGTAGCCCAGGGTGGCCTTGAACCCCTGATCTCCCTGCTTCCTCCTCCCAAGTGCTGAGATTAAAGGCGTGTGCCGCCACTGCCTGACTCTATGGTTAACTAGTGGCTAGCCCCGCCCTCTGATCTCCAGGCAAGCTTTATTTGTCAGAACACAAACAAAATATCACACAACAGTGGACTTTGGGTTTTCATTGTTTACAACCCACCTAGCTTTTAGTGTTGTGTGAGGGCAGCTTAACTGAGCTGCGGGAAGAGTCCTGGCTGTGTACCTGGCTTAGCCACACCCTGAAACCTCTGGCAACAACCTTGCATTGATGTTAAACTTTCTTTCACTACAGCTGAATTCTGCATTGTTAGCTCCAAATAAGGGTTCATGACTTCTTGTTAAGTCTCTTTTAGACACCCATAATTAAGGAGTTATTTGACTTGGAAAGCTTAGCAGAAACCAAAAAAAAAAAAAAAAAAAAAAAAAAAAGCAAGACTGAAACCTTTGGGGAAATCATGAAATCAGCCTGGTTTAGCTTGAGTGGCATGCATAATAGGTTTTTTAGGTCAGAGTCCATGGCTCCTGGGGCACTGTGTGCCTTCAGTTAATGAAGCATTCAGGCCACTTTGTGTTTCTCTGTATGTTTCCTTGAAGTCAAGGCAGCAGCAGGGGAGCTTGCCAGGACAATTGGTCCTAGACGTTAATCTGTGCACCCTGCATCGCTTGCAAATGGCACCGTATCCTGACAACTACAATCGTATTGATTCTGGAAATTGCCACTATACTCTGTTTCTGATGAGGGTATAAAAAGTCGGATTGCTTTCGATAAAATTGTCACAGCCTCAATCTTGCCGTGGCCCCTCCAACCTGAGCCTGGCTTAATTTTTCACCCTGTCAAGTAACCTTGGCCCAGGAAGTAAGTGTGGGTGCTTACAAAAACTCAAACCACACAAGCATGCACTTTTGTGTATCACAAACCCTTGGCCAACAAGAATGAAGCTGAGAGCCTCCCCAAGGCTTCAGATGGCCAGTCCATTAGCAAGTGTATATAACAACTTGATTTTAAGAAAGATTTATTTTTAATTATGTATATGTATGCATATGTCTATGCAGAGGTGTGTGCCTATCAGTACAGATGTTGGAGGAGGCCAGAGAGGGTGTCAGAGTCCCTGGAGCTGCAGTTATAGTGGTTTGAGCTGCCCAGTGTGGGTGCTGGGAACTGAACTCAGGTCCTCTCCAAGAGCAGCTCATGCTCTTGATTGATAAACCATCTCTTTCATCCCTTCGACTGGAATTTTTAAAATACAAATGATTGTTTTTTGTGATATTAATCAAGCAAAAAATCTGGCTGTTTCATATTCTAACATGATGAGTTAAGGTTTCCTTCGAGTTTTGAAATCCATTTTAATTAGGATAATTTGACAAGTTAAAAATTCAACACTCTTCTGTTTATTTATCTTTCCCTCCTGGTGTTAGGGATCGAACCCAGAGCTACACTCAGTCATGTGATACACCACTGAGCCTGCTCTCAGTCCCATCCATCCTTTTGTTACACGGATATCTGAGTCGTGTGTGTGACCACAGCACAGAAAAGAGTGCCATGGACAGACTCCGGGGTTGAACTGCTCTCTGGGTGAGGAGGCAGCTGGCCCAGGGGACACAAGCTGCATTTCTGCTGTGGGAGGTGCTCCGAGGCGCTGTGACGTCACTGTGGGATGGGGACACCTTCCTTGGGGATTCCTCTGGTGGGTCTGTATGAGCAGCAATGGGGGAAGGTTGGAGCCAGGGCAAGGACTGCAGAGCAGCAGCAGCAGCAGAGGCAGATGAGGGTCAGTCTTGGGGGTCGTCCACACGCACAGTCTGCTCTGGTAAAGGTCAGTTGCTAAAGGGCTACTGTTCCTTGAGAAGTCCAGCTGGCTTCTCTAAGGTCACACTTCTGGAGGACTGTTTCTAGCCCAGAGTGACTGCAGGAGTGTGTATGGGATCCTGTCCCCAGCCAGTTCCTGTGAACCATGGGCTCCTCTAATGTAAAGCTGGCTTGAGGACTTCCCTTCTTGGAACTGTGCTAAGGTCCAGCCTCCTCCCGCCCACTCCTGCCTGCCAGGTATCACAGCCATTGCTGCAGCAGCTCTCTTTGCCTTCTACCCCTCTCCCCTCTGTCCTTCTTGGTGCTCCCCACCCCAGTGTATGGCTTGCACAACTCAATTCTTTTGGCCTCAGCTTTTACAGGGCCAGAACCAAGGAGCCAATTGCAGTTAACCGCGTATGTAGCAAGTGTCCTATGGCCGTACATGCCAACTGTTCTCAGTCAGGGGACAGCTGATCTCTGTCCAAATCCTGGAGCTTGCTGAGGGGTGGTTGCTAAATTCTGCATCCACTCTGAGCCTTACTGTTTCATGGGCAGCATGCTGACCTTCTTTCTGCTTTTCAACTTTAGTTTCCCTCCCTCCCCCTCCCCTCCCCCTCCCCCCCTCCCCTCCCCTCCCCCTCCCCTCTCCCTCCCCTCCCCCTTCCTTTGACTCTCTCCTTTTCCACCTCCCCCCTTCTCTCCTCCCTCCCCTCTTCTAGCAGAGAACCCTGCTCTGGGTCATCTGTTCACACTGTGGCTGCCTCAACTGGTGTTTTCTTGGGAGGAATGTGAGCTCCCCGCATGCCCCTGAATACCTTTCCTCTTCAGCTTCCTTGCGACACTGTGGCAGTTACACTCAAAGGAACATCTGTGGATATTTTAACTGAGAAATCAGGACTGGGTGTTGCTCAAGATGGAGACAAAACACAGTGCCCCCACCTACAAAGAATGGAGCCCATATGGTGGAGGGGCTGTGGCACTTACTGCAGCCTGGTGAGAGCAGGCACTGGGGTGCATGCCGGGGCCCAATCAGGATCTGCCTGCTTGTCTTCTTCCTGTCCCAGGCTACTCCACAGAGACACCATACTCCATCTGCTTCCAGACCCTTCTTTAAGTAGGGGTGGTGATGATCCAGGGTCTTTTGGGGAGTCAAGTGGGGTCCTATTCAGCAAGAAGCCCGTGCTTAGAGAGATTCAGGTCGTCAGGGGTCGGGGTGGGGCAGCAGGGACCACAGCACCTAACAGAAGCCAGAATCCAAGTCCAGGGTGAACTGTGCCTATCTTCTGCCTGGCCATGACCGCTAGCTTGGTGCTGCCCAGGCTCAAATGCTTTTCTTCCACCCACCACTGCTCTTTGGCACACCATTCCGTCAGGCACCATTGTTTGCCTAACACCGACTTCCATGGTTGGCAAGTGACCCAAGGGTCTCTTCACGGCCAGTTGTGGGGCACATTGATGCTTCTGTGCCATGGACCTGGGCATCTGCCCAGAGCAGGGTGCCTGTGCTTCCCCAGGGTTGCAGAATCCTCTCTGGCTGGGTGTAAACGGTGCTGGTGTTAAGTGGCTGCTTGAGTGTGGCACCACAGACCCTGTTACTCTGAGAGAAAAGTGTAGCTCCGTTTGGAGGACCTCCTGCTGGTGTGTGAGGAGTTCTGAAAGCAGGGAAATGAGGGAACCAATAGGGAACATTCTGGAAAATTGTTTATGGGTCTGAAAACTGCTTTCAGCTTGAATGTGCACAATGCTCTCTGAGGGCACCACTCCCATGCCCACCTGCGCCCTTGGAGACTCAGAGTTGTTACATATTAGGTAATTAATTATTCCTAAGTTTGGGGAATCAGACAAGTATCATGTGGCAAGGCTTCGACTGTGGAGATCTTTTAGACTAATTTCTTTTTTGGTAATTAACAGAATCAAATGCTTCCCTAATTTTTAACAATAATTAAGCAATTGTGATGGCCACATAGAGCAGTGGCAGT